CCCTGCCACTGCATAGCATAACGCACTGTAGTCACGTCATTCAGTGGCAAGCGAGCGGGATCTTCTGAGCGCAAGCGAACCAATGAAAGAGGAAGATTTGGAAGTTACCACAGCAACACGGAAACGCAGCAAGACGAACGAGCAAGATGAATCCGTACGGTCAGGTAGGCGCCGTTAAGATTACACGCTGTAATAACTACTCATAAATGTTTGCACCTCGTTATCGGAGCCCTTGTGATTCTTCAGTCTGATTTATCAACGCCGTATACCTTACCGTATATTACGGGACATAGCCTGCTGAACAATGAAACATTGTTGTTCGCCTAGATTTATTGCAACTGGGCTCAAACTATGAATCAACAGGCTGCAGATTCGTACAATTACTGTTCATGAACTTGAAAATCAGCGCCAATATCGTCCGGAAACCACTTTTGAAAGACTTTTATTATCCGTGAAGAGTTGTATTGTACGCACGTGAAGAATGATCAGTTTTAGCGTTAGTCGGACTAATGGATAAAAACAGCAGCGAAAGAGAGACGTTGCTCAGTTTTACACTGACGCCAGGCAAGCATCTCCACCGCAAGACGACAACGATTTAGGTTTACGGACCGAAGGCGGCTTATGAGCTGAAGAAATACACTTGACTGCGGACATGTGTGACTCTGATCACACGGATTGCTGTCTGCTCAACGAAAGCCGTCCAAGTTAAAACGTCGCAACTGGAAAGGTGTCAATATCACAAATGAGGTCGCGCGCAGCTCATGGCCGAGGCGAGACAAAAACGTGCCTCAGCATTAGTAAAATGTTCATCAGCCTCTATAGCAAACATCCGTTTTTCAAATGAGCTCCTAATTAAACGCATCGCCCGCTGTCCGCCATTCTGAGTACCAGCTATTTCGAAGAGGGTACGGTCTGACCACAAACGCCGATGGAAAGAGGCGAACGACAAGGAAAGTCTCAATAACTTCGCCGTGCGGAAAGCGGCACAACGGTAAACGACCTTCGGTGATCACACTGCATAAGAAATGAAACGAATACCAGTATGTGGTTCACGGACTCGTCCTCTGGCGCCTGTTCTTTCGGCACACGGTCCGTGCGAAAGCTGGTAATTTCGTGAAAAAACTACCATTTGGCGTCGTGAGGCAGAAAACGGCTATCATCTGAGAGGACGATCGGCGGCAGAGGAGGAAGGACCGAGTCATGATACGCAAAGCCTGGCAGCCAGGCAACAGACGTAAACGCACTTCTGCGACTTTCGTCGATTCCAAGAATTCTGTAAGACGCAGGACTGAGGAAAGCGGAAGTCGGCTACCTCGTCAGCGGTCTTAACTGCCCTTCAGACACGTTGTACGAGTCGCGAAGATACATGGACGATTGTGAGCGAGTGCGCGGGCGCCGTCAGTAACGTACGACGATGTATAAGTAAGGACACTCGTTGAAGGGCTCTCAGACGAGACGAACCGAGAGACGAAACGAAACTCGTGCTCGTTACTTCGCCTGGGGGAACAACATTCCAGGCACCGTTCTGTCGCCGCATCGAGCCACCGCGCATCGCTGTCCTTGAGCTGATTGCAGGTACGCTCAACGTGGACCTGGCAGAAGGGCTACGCAGTCAGCCTGCCTTTTAACTGTCCTATTTCGCACACTGCTAAGCTGAGCTATCCGCGACGGCCTCCCGGCGCTGGACTACGTCTGGCACTAGCTCCGGTCGACTGATCGGATTGGATAGAACCATGTTCGACGAACCAGCTGCTGCCGGGCATTCACTTTTTTTAAACTTCTACTATAAAGTACTACTTAGCTGAAGAAAAACATGCCCCACACTGAAATCACTCCGAGCGATATTCACTGGAAACGTAATCAAAACGATCACTCGTTCGGTCGGTCATTTGAAGCCGCCGAATAATTTCAGGAACTCCATTCTAGCATCGAACCACGTCAAGGTGTTCAGACAACATAGAAAAGGGGACGGTACTTCCTGTTTTCGAATATCAATATCAACCACAAAAGGCGATGCAGCAAAGGAACTTCTTCAGAGAGATATGAAAGCGTTCGAGAGTCCAGAAAAATGCTATAACGGAAATCGAAGTTAGGCTTGATTAGGCAAAACGCCAGAATTCTTCAGAATGTGTGCCGTTAAGTCTGTTGAGAGCATCACCTTGAGCCGTTTGCATAAACAGAACGTCTGGTTTGTGACAGCCGCAGTATTTTCAGCTTTTCAGCAAGGTACCATTGCGCCATCATAGAAGGAACAGTTACTGTTCAAACGCAGATCTGTGTACCTTGTTCTTCTATGCTGCACGCAACCTCCTGGTCGACATCTGTCGTGCTTCGCCTCCCACCAGACAAGCACATACGATGGGAGAACGGTTACGCGCAATTAGTTTGTCTAACAAGGTTTACCTCCTCTTCTTAACTGTTCCCGCAACAGAATATTCATTCTTTACGTTGGTCTGTCATTTGACATACGCATGCATCAAAGCCTGCGCTGCTGCACGCGGTTCAGCCGTCGTTCCTGGCCACTTGTTATAACAGTTATTTACGTTAGGTACAATAGTGACTTGACGGATACAAGGTACAGATGAATTGTGAGATAAAGGCTACAATTTTTCAGCCCAAATATTGGACAGGTCACTAAAAGCACTGGAATCGAGGTCGATCCTCACATTCTTCATAATTGCCATGATGCAACAGTCGAATTCAGCTCAGTTCACTATTAACTATTTAGACGGTCAAACATAACAAGCAAGTTGTACAGAACTAGTTAAGCAAAAAAACCGGTCGCACAGGTTCGGCGGACAACCACCGGCCAAATCTCCAGGTTAACCGATTTTGAGAGCACTTGGTCATCTTCATTATGATTAAAAAACACTTTATGATCAACAATAGGAAAACGGTTTGATTACAACACAGCGAATAACGTCACACTACAGACCAACGTTTGACTGAACCTGCCAGGCCCTTTCTGACTGAGGAGTGGCGGGTCCACTGGAAACCTGGTCACGCAGTATAACGTCGTCGGTTGTGTGTTATAAAGAAACCTCATGGCCTACCCAAGATTCTCAGAGCGGCAAACAATTTCTTAGACATTATGTTTCTAATGAATATGTTTCTCTCTTTGTAATATACTGATTTCCTTATTCAGTGGCATTACGCTGGTGCGATATGTAAGGTCGTCGTCGAAAATTAAGGATAAATCTGACTTCGCATACTTGACTGGAAAGAACTGTTAAGAAACATAGATAAAAATGGAACAAGATGAGAAACGATAATCCTCTCCTCAATTAGCAGACTGATTGATATTTGGATGGGTGCAACTAATAGCCTCCGTGCGAGGAAGCACTGATTCAGCAGTCTGTTATCCCCATCTGTGTTAAAGCGCTTCGTCAAAGGATCCACAACGATCGTCAGTGAAGCGGAAGTGACGCAGTGGGCTAGTAATCTGTTTTGAATTTTAGCAGAGATCAAACCCAAGGCGCAATATCGCACTCCGGAACCAAGACAGGCAGCAATACAGTATACAAACTCAACCGGAAGAGCGACATGGAAATTCACGCTATGCGAACAACAGCTGTAGTCACATCTACCGCATACGTAATTGAATACGGTCAACTCGAAGGATTGGTCACTCGTAAAAACTATGCTATCCGCAGCTCAACCATGAGGAATATCATCAGAACTCTGTTGTCTATTCCTTTATATCGGATAACTGCCTTCAGTGTTGACCATCCTTACGCGGAAAATTCGCAGGGATGAGAATTATCTTCGGCAGCGGCTTCACATTGAGGAAAATGTGAACTTGCTCATTTATCAAGATGTCGGATGCAAACCAGAAGTCAGACTGGTATCGCTGAAATCGTTTCGCCGGCACGACGCGTCGTTTCGCGAAACTGCTTTGCACAGCGCAACAAAGAACAGCACAAATCTCATAATGGCTATCTTATTCCTCACTGAAGGACGAATCAGAGGCCACTGGTGTTTTTATCTTATCAGGAATTATGGACGGCACAGAAATGAATTTGTATCACTTGCAATACAAATGCGCACCAATCGTCACTGCCGGTGTGAAATTAGGAGAGTCTCCGTACGATTGTTGGTAGCTCCTACGAAACCTTAGGGCCACAGAAGATAGTAGCGTAACTCAAATCCTCAGCAGTGTTAGAAAACATAACATTGAAGAAATTTAGAATATGCTTGTCGGCTATCGAGAACAAGAACCAGAGGTAAAGAACAGGCTTTTACATGGTCGGAAAACAAAAATACACAGTTGAAAAGCAAGTCGTGAAGCGACTAAAATGAACGAATAAACAGCGTAGCCGACACCACTGAAAGACCATGTCATGGAAGTCCTCGGAAATCAATTGGAAACTTGTCTGAATCTAATGTTTTATCAGCCTAAGCAATGAAAGTCTATAAAATATGCCTATAACAAGACCTACGGACAGTGCAGACAGTCATCGCGGAACATCTGTCTAGGGAGACGCTGCCACCGAAACGTGCGGTCTATTCTGCGACCACTATCGAGTCTCGCTGGTCCCCCGCAAGGAAGCGCCGCAGACTAATGCCGAATCGCTTACGAACAGAACGGAAACGCCAAATTCGCCATTTGGTCCATATCTGATCAGGAACCGGTCTCAATATTTTCGCTGTAATCATTGCTTCGACACTGAAACCGAAAATTTCGACTATTTCGAAACTGAAACCGGAAAATAAGACTGAACTCGCTCAGGACGTGAACTCATGTAGACGACTTACAACTCCTTGACGAACCAGAGGCAAAAACGATCGATATAACCTATGGGTTAACCTTAGGAGTATCTTAAACCGAACTTCATGCAGAATACGATTCACAGCCGAACAACGAATGACGATAATTACGAATTATGACATCCCAAGTGCGACGCTGGGTCGCACAGGGAAATATTTCGGGGATATAGGCAAAAGAACACCAATGCCGTTCTTATGTGCGTGATGGTATCGCCTGTACAGTAGTAGACTTACGGCTTGAAAAATGCCTTAGAAAAGGCAATGCGTCGGCTGCACAGCGAGAGCTGAAAAGTCCGCTACTACGTGCTACTTGTCTTAAAAATGTCAAACGATACCTTACTCAAGATTAAGCTCAAACAACAGTTGCATAAAAAACAAGCGAAGGTCGGCACCAACAAGCATCGGCCGAGAGCGGAAAGTTTTAAGCCCAATGTTTGCCGGTTGTTTGTGCGAACAACTTAGTTCTGTTACGACTCCTCTCCGCACCCTCCTCGACCAAACATCGTGTTTCGTACAGCTAATAGCTCGCTTGGGAACTTCCATGTGAATGACTGTACAACGGCATCAGTAAATGGGCTCAACGCCCCATCGCGTGCTTGTCAAAGACGTTCCGCATCATGGAGGCATATGCGTGCCAGACCAGCGGTCAAATAACGCTTACAGCCATAAGTCATCGAAGTAGAGAAGTTGAAAAACAATGTTCGCGGAACCAAACACCTTTTTCCCACTTATTTGCCTAAATTCACTTTTAGCATATATTTTTAGCATAATGTCTATTGCTCTATCGTCGGAGGGGTTGAACATTTGGTGTGCCCTTCCGATGAAACCTGAACCAGTAAAATATGAATCTGAACAGAATCTAAGTTTTAGGAATACCTGTTGCCTGACAGCAGCATAATTAAGAAAGAACAAAATTATACGGTTTGAATTACATTATCATGATAATTGCACGATAAGGCACGGCTGGAGCACACAGCAGTCCTACTTCTAGACACGGAGAAGCTCTTACTTATTGTGATCGATTTCGTTAAACAAATTCCAGCGGACTGTGATCGGAGATGCTTGTCTCAATGTCGCTAACAAACGAATAATCTGTTACCGCAAATGAGGCTAATCAGTATAGAAATGTTTCTCCCAATCCACTACGAACGTGGATTCGATCAACAACGCTGTGTCATGACCGTAAACGCCGAATACCGCCCACCCATGACTGGAATCTGCTAGTCGGCTGGACCAGAGCAGAAAAACGCCCCAACGCCTGCGTGCATGCCTGAAAGAAGACGAAGATTTGAGGGAGTGGATCAGACTGCTTGACGAGTGCATCACTTCAAAGAAACCGGACGGGACTTAACAATGCTGCATGGTGCTCGCCCTGAGGCAACTTATAAATGGCGGAATTATTTCGGTTCTTGATTTTAAACCGTAATCGCTGAGTACATCGCCTCTGGGCAAAACCAAGCAAACGTATTTTTTCTGAGACTTTCGGAAAATCGCACTGTCTCCAAGCATACCTCCAAACAGCACCTCCCGACTTCAAAACAGACCTGTACGCAACTGAAGGTAAAACAGGGCCGAAGGAGCGTCCTTCCTGCACCGTCAACCAAGCCGGTATGCTCCTGTCGTCCAGGAGTTGACGCCTGAGAAAGATTTTCTGCTAGCTTATTAAATGTTGTATCACCATCATCAGAAATTGTCGACCACTGCCGGATGAAGGCCTCTCCAAGACTTTTCCATAAAGACTGCACATAAAACTGAAATATCACACCACGTAATTCGATCGATTTCGCTTCTCATACTGAACCAGATCTAAATTTTATCTGTTTATCATATTATTAAAGGAAACTTTCCAGTGTAAGCTTATATTAAAGATCTCAACAACTTCTCAGTTTACAATGACCCAATTTTGACCGTGAGTTACATATAATGGTGCAGCGATTGTTCACTTTACAGGAATCGACACAAGTATCTAAAAGCTATTCAGATCGAACCTACCTAAAAAATACATCATTATTGGTTCAAAGGATATCAAACATAATAATTAAGTTACGTTAACAAGGAAACCGCTCTGCGTCTGTGTGTGTTCCAGTGTTTTCCAGCAACGACTATTAACTCGACCTCGACTTGACTCGCCCTAAACTGATGACAGCTTCGTCAAGCATAGTGACTGAAAGACAGAAGAGAAGCAGGCACTTCAAGCTGAAAACAAGGGAACGGCACTCACTATGTCGCAAACTTTCCCTTACGATGATCACCAGGTGATTAAGCAAAGTACGTGTCGGGGCACTGCATAAAATACATTAAATAAATCATTAGGCGCCTGTAAAGGTCCTTGCTGCATGTCGAAACAAGAAGACTTTACGTTCTAAGCGCTCAACTACAAAATCCAAGCATCTTTAACTCATGTGTGCGCCTCACTAAACTCCTTTCTTACTGTTATCTGTGGCTAACGCTAAAGTATACGCATGAATCAATGAGCTCAAACGATTCAATTATGGATAAATCAGTCTACTGATAGACACAACTTTAGGTGGCAATAAATCATTTAGCCAATTGCGCTTCTTACATGCGCACGTCTCATTGTCAAACTTCGGGTTTATCAAGCACCCAGTTTTGGAGGACGGAACAGCAGATGTATAACATGTACGAGAGCAAGTTGCTAAACTCAAGCCTGATATACGGTCATACAAGTAACGTTTCCAGATTCACGGAGTGTATTCGCACGGACCTTTGTTTCCAGCTGCCTGAAGAACTATTTAAGCAGTACAGGTCGCCTTGGTGTTATAGCATCAGCAGTGCATTTATGCAAAGCATCATCATCATCATCATGTGGCGGAGAGAACAAAATCCAATGCGATGTAGCTCTGCAGCCGTGCCATGTTGATGCCATAAGCTAATGATGATGTAGACTCCTTATAGGGGTCTCTGAGTTGCTGGAAACAAGAGGGAGGGCAGCTACGCTGTGTGAATCCAGGGAAGCAACTCGTACATGTTACGCTGACTGGCGACAGGGAAAGCTGATCTTTGCTAATAAATCAACAACGACATTGCTTAGAAATGTAAACTTTAAACAGCGAACATATTCAACTGTGTACTTTACAATTTCTTCAACCACTTACTCATCACAGCATTCTAGTTGTTGTTCGTGTTCCCTTCTGCTTTTTTCCGTCACTCAGAACAACTGATGTGACTCCTCATCGAACGGTTTTCGCTTTCATGGCGCAATCTCCTTCCACGCTGGATTTCACATACATTCGGATTCCTTCTCATCTGGTCTCCTATCGTGTCTCACTTGTTAAAATACGTTTCCCCTTAGCTTTATGTTAAAATACGGCCCAAACACGGCCTGAAGGGAAGCAATGTATATCTGTTCGTCGTTGGTGCGCGCATGCTCACATCAGCATTCTGGAATTCGTGAAGCTGATTTGCTAGTAATGCTTGTTCAGCCAACCTTTGTATCCTGAATCTGACAAAGCTACGAGACTTAATCAACAATAGATTCTTTAACTAAATTTATAGTTATATGCCATAAACTGAAATACTGTTTCAAAAGCCTATAAGTATAAAATGTAAAGTGCATAAGTGTATAGTTTCATTTAAGTGTAAATGCTCACATCTGTTAAATATAACCTAAAACTTGATAATGACGAAGACTGACATTCACTATATGTTTCAGCTGTACAGTTTCATCAGTTCGCCATCACGACGGCATCGCTGCAAGAAGAATGTGTGAACTGCGATTGTAGCTTAATGATTCAATGAACCGCATACGTAATGCTACATACTTCATAAAAGTGGTAGAGAAAAAACGTTTCGAGCCAAAACATACTGGAATGACATAAGTTACTGCTGCTGTCTGAGAAGACGAAAAGCAAGAAACCAAAGACAGTTATG